CACATAACATTAGCAACCTCACCATTCATAGTGCTGAGTAGACGGGAACCACTAATAGCAACTGATACGAATATCGTATCGGATAGGGAAGAACTTCGAGCGTTCTTCAAGCTCCAAGAATATGAGGTAGAGAAAGATGGAAAACTTCGAGCGTTTCCGGGCTCCGAGAGAATAGAGAAAGAGATTAGGGTTTTGATATTTCTTTATTGATTGATTGAATAAAAGGATTACATCGCTATTTATAGGAGATAGAGAAACCCTAATGCTAACGGTATTTGACCTAATGGGCTCGGGCCCATACTAAAACCTTCAACAACATTAACTATTAAAAATTAAATAACTACTAATTTATAAATAATATAACTAATCTATTATCATATCATTCTCGCTCCCTTAAAAACCACCTTGTCATCAAGGTGGGGGTTCCCACGCAAGCTTTTGGACATGTGAGAACGTGCTGAACCAGAAAAGATGTCCAGTTGTAGACCAATCAGAAGCTTCACAGATGAAGTATAGCGGTAGAAAGAAGATGGATGGCCAAACTTGCATTGAACTATTTTCTTTGAACCCAAGTGCTCAGACTTGACAATACCAACAATGTCGAGCAACGCGATGGTGTCCAACGAAATTGGGTTATCGGCGTGGATACAATCTTCATCTGTCACCTTGTCCACACCTTCTAAAAGTGCAAACTCGTTATTTTTCCCCACGACGTTGGACCCCTCGTCCTCTGCATTTATGAGTTCAGGCCCACTGTCCATGTTATCCCCAACATATGATTCTACGCTTGAATCATCCTTTGACTCCTTTTCATGAGACTCAGTGTTTGGTATGGTGACCATATGAGCCAAATTGGGTGGAGAAAGCGGGGCATTGATAAGGTATCGGATGACATTCATCATTTTTGTTCTGAAATTTTGTACCTCCAAAGGAATCAAAATCGGCAAAATTGAGGGACCACGAACCAAATCCTGTACCGCACACGAGATTTCAATGTCAAATGCATGTAAGCCAGAATCATAATTGGACTGACCTTCAATAGGACGAAATGACTGAAGATTTGTTATCATTTCATCAATGTAGTCGTAAAGTATGCAGACTCCTTCGTCGTGCTCAATTTCGCTATAAAGAACCATCTCTAGCAAAACAATAAGTTTGTCCAATGTACTAGTACTCATAATCAAAGTCTCTAACCGCTGGAATTGGGCCTCCATCCGAAATGAAAAATCTTGCTGCATTTTAGCCAAAGATTGAGTAAAAGTATTCATCCTTTGAATTACCGTGCGGAGGACTAAACACTGGTTGCGACTCGAATTTCTTCTAAAATTGCTATGCTTGCTCTGTTTTTTTTGTGCTAGATGAAAACCAAAAAAAAGTTCACTAGCTAATAGTATGACGGCCAAAACTTCCTAGACTGCAGCCTTGCATCGCAAATCAAATCTTCAAAACTTGAATTGGATTTGAGAGCTTCTCAAATCAGATCTTCAAATCCTTTTTTTTGTAAATAACAAAACTTGATTTGGAGTTTCGAGCTTTGGATCATATTTCAGCAGAGAACTGTAACAGCTACGCCGAAGAACTGGGAAATGCTTCTTAAATTTTCCGATCGGCGGCGGTAACTCAACTCAAAGGTGTGAAGGTGAACTTTCAGTGGCGGCGGCGAAGTAATTTACTACGGCGCAGTTGGGATGCGTCTATGCCAGATTCTTGATTCAAATCTGGATTGCGGCGACACACTGCATACGGAGAAGATCTAATCGGAAGAATGAAACTTTTTTTCTTTTTTTTGTTTTGGTGGTGAGATTGGTGTTCAAATCAACGAGAGCACCAATTGATACGAATATCGTATCGGATAGGGAAGAATTTCGAGCGTTCTTCAAGCTCCAAGAATATGAGGTAGAGAAAGATGGAAAACTTCGAGCGTTTCCGGGCTCCGAGAGAATAGAGAAAGAGATTAGGGTTTTGATATTTCTTTATTGATTGATTGAATAAAAGGATTACATCGCTATTTATAGGAGATAGAGAAACCCTAATGCTAACGGTATTTGACCTAATGGGCTCGGGCCCATACTAAAACCTTNACGAATATCGTATCGGATAGGGAAGAATTTCGAGCGTTCTTCAAGCTCCAAGAATATGAGGTAGAGAAAGATGGAAAACTTCGAGCGTTTCCGGGCTCCGAGAGAATAGAGAAAGAGATTAGGGTTTTGATATTTCTTTATTGATTGATTGAATAAAAGGATTACATCGCTATTTATAGGAGATAGAGAAACCCTAATGCTAACGGTATTTGACCTAATGGGCTCGGGCCCATACTAAAACCTTTAATAACATTAACTATTAAATATTAAATAACTACTAATTTATAAATAATATAACTAATCTATTATCATATCAGCAACAACCTGGGACTTCTATTGGAAGCTCTAGACATTCCCATCCGGATAGAGATGCCATCTTAGCCCCAACAATATTCCACTTCGTGCAGGCTCATTACTTCCCCCACTTAATTGTCCTTTCAAATCCAACTCATGTGTGGGGACCTTATAAGCAATCATGTGGATCGCAACAACAAAAACAACCTAGTAAAATCCCACGAAAGTAGGGTGGGTCTGAGGAGGGTGTGCATGTGCCTACCTTACCTCTACCCAAAAGTGGTGGGGCTGTTTCCGAATCTGCATCGCGACAAGAAAATAATAAATTAATTGAAAAGTTTATTGGCCCATACAAGGTGATCCATCGCATATCAATTAGGGTTGCATGAGAGGCCAGAGGTGTGATGCTTTTCATGTATTTGAAAGTCTACGAGGGTACCCACCCACAACAGTTCCAAAATTACCAGTTAGAGTATAAACCACTATGTCACTACTGTGCTACAACTTGAAAAAATACTCGACTCACGAGCAACGCCTGAAGGAGGTGAAGTTTGACTTCTTGCGAGACCCAACATGTGGAGGATGCCGCCTGAAAATATATCAAGCCATTCCACATTTCCGCATCATATATAAACACAAACGATCATATATGATCACAGACTAATTCTCTTATTAGATTACCTTTTTGGATGGAACCCCAGTCAATATTATGGTAGAAGTTTATTAGAGCATACTAACCTCAAACGAGCAATTGAATTGTGGTCAGACTCAACAACAAGGACACAGACTTTAACATTGGTCTCCACCAATGAGCTGCCATTTTGGGGCGCATGTTAATCAATCTCACATAGGCTAAATATGAAAAACACAATCATATAAGGTTTTGGATTAATACTTTTATCAAGCTGACCTTTTACCTTGGATCTCCAAGTTTTATCACAATCACTCTATGATTTCAGGAGCACATTTTTAGGTCAAGCTTGAGGGAAAGCTTTATGCCGCGAGGGGTGGGTGGGGGCATATGATAATATGCTCAGAGGGGTGGGTGGGGGTATGTGATAATATGTTCAGAGAACGTGCCTGATTCATGAACGTGCCCGTGCCAGCATAAGGCTATTAATTTCTTGTAATAACATTATAAAAAATGTAATTGACCTTGGCTCCATCGTATGGTCTATCAACTATTGCATCCCTTATTATTATTGTTGCTGGGGCCTAATTGCAACAGCAAGAATCCATTCGGTAAAACTAACTTTTCGAAAGTTAGAAATATTCATTCCAGATTTTCCTAGGGAAATTCTCTCCTTAATTGAAGAATTCAAAGATTGCCTAATCTGACCTTCCCCCAGTTATATGATAAAATTGTATTTCTTTATTTGAATATCTTTAATCTGTTACCAGGTCTAATTATTCTCCATTTCAAGCAAACATGGGATTCTTATTCCAATATATCAAATAGTAATTAGCTACTCTTTGTAAAATTGCAAGTAGTATTTGTACATTGTTTGATTGCCCAATCTTCTTTCGTTCTTTGATGATCAATTACAAACTTACAATGATAAAACATGCTTTGTTCTAAATAATTGCAAAAGCTGTTTTTTACTTGATGTTGAACTGATTCATACAAAGCTTTCATCTTGATGTCTGTCTGCATGGAGATTCCTAAATTTTCTTTATCCACAATGCAGCATGCCCAATTAACTTCGAGTTTCAGGATTACAGTGTGATCACTACCCAATGCAAAGGGCCTCAATACCCACCAAAGCTGTGCTGTGATGCCTTTGCGCAATTTGCATGTCCTTTTGCCGACTACTTGAATGACTTGGCAACTGATTGTGCCTCTACCATGTTCAGCTATATCAACATTAATGGCAAGTACCCGCCCGGTCTCTTTGCCTTTGAGTGTAAAGGAGATAAGGAGGGCCTCCCGTGCCTCGCACAAGCGCCATCCGATTCAACGGATGATCGCAGTGCCACTCTTCTCAACTCTAAACCATCTCGCGTTATTCTGTTTCTTGCTGCATTCTTAACTTTAATGGTGTGGTAAGCTATATTTTACGAAAATTTGTTATAAGCCATAATATATGTGTGTATTTAGCTCGATTCTTTTCGTTTTATTACACTGTAAAAAATGAAGAGGTGATTTTATTGATCTTTAAACTTGAAACAGGGTTTTTAATACTTTCATGTAATGCTATTGAATGTAACAGATTATTTCATGGAGGACAAAGTGTAATTTAATGAAATTGTTGCTGTATGCCCTAAAGGGCAATCAATTGTTCATTGTTGTTCATTCATGTTGTATCCTGAAATTCATTTTTTTGTGAGTACAAAGGTTATTTAATAACGAACATTACTGTACCTTTTGGGGGGGGGGGGGGGGGG